CCCGAAGGACCAATTGCTTATATATATATATATATATATGATGAGAACAAAAATGATATTTCTTTGAATAACCTGACGAAAATCATTTCATTTCTATACCAAACACATAAAATCCAAAAGCCCCACCAAACTCAGAAAAATTCTTTTGTAATAGTACCACAACAAACTCAGTCCACTTGTACACATTTTTTTTTTGAACAGTATACAATTTGAGGACGGGGGAAGGAAGTTTTCAAGACGGTGGTAGAGTTTGAAATCCTGATCACCTCATCCAAGTACTTTAAGATTTGAAATCGAATAATTAAATCTAAAGGCCGATTCATCCACATTGATTATGTAAGATCATGTTCCTTGGACCTCATTAATCTAACGTTGGGGTGGAGATGTAGTTATTACTACGCAATAATATAACAAGGTCTCGCAAATTATAATTACTGCATTTGATTTAATTAATATTTAATTTATTTATTTTTTTAATAGTTAATTATAATGTTTAAAAAATATTAATTTATAAGTGAATTTTAATTTATTAAATAATAAATATTAGTTATTTTTAACAATTAAATTAAATAAAATTAATATATTTCAAGGCATTATTAACAAATTTATGTGACATTAACTATACTCCACTTTTTATACATAATTTTAAGTAATACTTTTATATATTTTATATGAATAATAAATAAAAAATTTTAATAAAATAAAACTACTCAATAAATACTACATCTAAAAAAATGAAAATATCAACTAAAAATGCTGCATATTAGGCTGCATTTCACTTTTTTTATATCAATTATTATTTATATACTATAAAAAATATATTACCTAAATATATTTTGAAAGAGGAGTAGTACTATTAATACTAATTTACTGTAAAAAATCATGGCTCAAATCAAGGTTATCACATTATCACTTATCATTTTGTTCCATTCCGGTCGGTACATACTAGTTTTAGGTTTAATTTGAAATAGTTAAAGGTTGGATTTCATTTCAATAAAATATTAAATATTTCAGTTAAATTTCAATATGTTATATATTTAATTTACAAAAATATATATATTTATAATGGGTAAATCTAAAATAGTACACAAAAAATTCTAATATATGATATATATATAATTTTAATAACATAACCCACACTATATTGATATCGGATATGGTACTAACAATTTTGACTCGAATTATTTACCGAACCAATGGAGACATGATTATATGCCAACTAGAATTCAAACCTATTATTGTTATTATTATTGTTATTATTACAAAAATAAGAAAAAAAATTAATTATATTTACATCTCACTCCTCAAGTCAAGTCCGGATAGTCAAACTGTACACGCTTCCAATGAAACCAAGAGAGTGATTGATTGGAGCCTGCTTGGTGGGATCCAAACCCGACCCACCCAAAAGCCATAACTTTTCGCTAATTTTGACAATTCAGAAGCAGGCCTTCAAGAATTTCAATTTTACTATTTAGAACAAAAAGAATTTATTTTTTCTTTTTGTCTCCCTTGAATACCAGTTTAGGTATCAGGCAAAAGGACTAAAGCTACTTCAATCTCAAGCAAAGAAAAGATTACAAACAATATTTGACCCACTAAGCCATTATCAAACTTACCAACCCAAACCTGCAACTTCTTTTGCTTATTTCCCCAATCTACATAAGAAATGAGTTCTATCTATATATGCCAACCGGGTTGCTGACTATGGTGATTGCTTGGTTTGTTCATCTTCTTTTCAACGACATGAACAAAATCCTTGACTGACAATCAATGTCTTTTTTTGGAAGTACTGTGACGCATCAAGGTTTATCGAATTCATCTTCTGCAGCAACCCTTCCTGCAGTGCCACGACCAGCCATCTTGCTGAATGAACCCACAGTAGATAAGCCCTTGAAGCTGCTACTCCCCTCGCAGAAGTTCCTGGACTTTCGTGATTTTCTCAGTTTTGAGGAACTAAAGTCAGCTACATCGTGATCAGCATCACCATAATCTTTTAATTTGCGCGCCACCACTACCCGTGCAATGGTGCTTCGGCAAAAAGGGCATACTGGAGGCGTTAATGATGCAGTTGTAGGGTTGGGTTTGTTATAACAACAGATAGCCAGTGTACACTGCGCACACATCTGATGGCCACAGTCCTGAAGTTCAATGTTGCATACCTGCTCAAAGCATATGCAACATAACTCGGCATTGCTAGCCTGCATTAAATAATTTCCCAATTAAATAATCAGTCCATCATTTCCAACAATCTGTCAACTTTCTATAAACAGTTCAGAGAGTAAATATAGATGCTTTAGAAATTATTGGATGTGAAAGGATACCCGTTACTAATCACCACCAAGCAATTGGATCGAGGGTTAAAATAGATTATGATGAACTGAAAATAGATTGCATATCCAGAAAAGACAAAACTGTTTGAGTTTGTACGTAGCTTAGTTAAAAATAAACCCGTTCAATAAGGGGACTAATACTCCAATAGACCAATACTAGAATCAAGGCATGGGGAAAACAATTATAGACTTCTAAAACAACTTTGAACAAAATGAAAAATAAAATGAAATTACTAGTTTGGCGTATCATTTAAACTTAAGATTAAATGGAAAAAGAAAAAGCTAAACAGAAAAAGACTTCCATTCACGTATGTTGTACTACCTCAGAAATACTGTCATCCATCCCAGAATCAGAATGTGGGGGTGAGTTAAGTGAGCAACCAAGACCCTTCAGAATATTCTTTTCCCTTTCACTGTTAGCCTCCATCAGCGCTTGTTCTAATAGTGCCTTTGCATCCTCATTAAGCTCGCTGAAGAACTTTAAAGGTGATGGCCAGACGAGAGGCTCTGCTGATGAAGGATTTAACAAAGCTGCACATGCTTCATGGCGGTACTTTAAAGCAACTATATATGGTATTCTCCTGAATACATGATAAAAGCAGGCCTTAGAAAAAAGAAAGAACAAGGGAAATCAAGTAAAGAAATTCACTCTTCATGGCTAAATAATTAGATTTTGTATGAAGAAAATGAATATAAGCATCGTAGACTTGGTAATATCTTAAGAAAGGGGACTTCAATCTGAAAGCTAATACTCTGGTTTATGGAAATGATTGTGAAAGGGAAAGATGTGTGCTAGAACTCTAGAATTGCTTGCAAAAGTTAAGAATCCCTTGAAATGCTCTAATTTCAAAACTTTATCATAATCTGGTGCATGCATTAGTTACCATGAACCTCTATAGGGCAACAGTTTGTCTACTGAAAACATAGAAAGAATCTAATTTAATTTCATTTTTGTCTAACACCTAATGGGAACAATCCACTTTCATCTGCAGTAATAAAAAATAAAAAATAAAGAGGAGAGAAGAAGAAGAAGAAGATATATAGAACCCCATATCATAAATCAGATATTCAAAACAATAGACTTGAACTATACCCAGATGCATCTCGTTGAAGTCGATCTGCACCCCATGCCAGCAACTTGCGGATGCAATCAAGAGACCCCCCTCTAGCTGCAAGATGAAGAGGAGTGCTCTCTGGGAAGCTGTAATACGATATTATGTCAATCTCTTTGTGCTGTGCAACAATTTATCAATCTAACATGAATACACAACAAAACCAGTAAAGAAGAAGACAAATTAATTCAAGAATTATTACCCATATCTACTCGTTGAAGCACAAACAAGAGCACCATTGTCTAACAGGCTGTGTACACATTCAGACTGCCTTTGACGAGCAGCCAAGTGCAGTGGGGTTGCTCCCTTATCATCTCTAATATTCACAAACCGAGCATATCCCCTGAAATCCAATCCAATCCAATCCAATCCCAACATAATGAAAATTAATCAAAAACTGGTGAAGCAACTAAAATAGAAAAGAAAACATCAGTATTCGGAAACCAAACCACCCACCATGAGACAGCAACAGGGCTTGACCGTGCAGCTGAAAGAATGGCTTGAAGGCAATCGGAGTGACCATAATAAGCAGCATAGTGTAAGCAGGTTCTTCCATTAAGGGAGTCAAACATTAGGATCTGGCATGCATTTATCAGATCATTTACTCAAACTGATAATTTGCACTTCATAACTTCATATAAATTCAATCAAACCAAAAATAGAAAAACCCGGAGAATTGAAAAATCGGACTCACGTTTGCGCCTGCTTCCATGAGCTTCTTCAGGCAGGAGATCTTCCCATGCATTGCAGCCAACATAAGTGGAGTCTTGGTACACAGAAAACCAAAATCCAATTAACTTAGCTTTTACATGAATAGAACCAAAAACAACAAGTACCAAGCAATTCAAAGGAACGGAAGCATCACATTTCACACTGGAGGAAATGGTTACCTGCTTGTGACGATTCAACACATCTGGATTCACAGATCGCTCCAACAGCATAGACAGAACCTAAGAACAAACGGAAAAAGAAACAAAATTTCAGGAAAACACCATCAAATCAGAACGAGAGGCATCCAATTTTGACCAAAATACAAAAAACCAGAACAAAATCCGGACCAAAAGAGCAAACACAAACCAAAACATACGCAATTCAATCAAACAATAAACTCCAGCAAAAGAACCCACCTCGATCTGGCCATTAGCAGCAGCTATGTGAAGAGCAGAGTGACGATCATATACGGTAGTCTCGTGCAAGAGACTCGGTTTTCTCTCCAACATAGCCTTCACAACTTCCAGGTTCCCACCTTGCACTGCTCCGAACATCCCATTCTCCTGATTCCCCGCACAACTCGGCCCCTGACCCATCGTTCCCCTCTTCCTATCTCTATATCTGCTTCGTCTCTTTAATCCCAAGGAGTGCCCAGTTCACCCCAGTCGTCGGCAAGACCCTCCACCGCTATCGTCCACCACCTTGAGCTGGGAGGGGAAGTGGTGGTGGAGGCCTTCTAATTTGGCGAGAAGTTGATATTTAAGGAGTAGCGTATACAAGTCTGGAGAGAGAAGAGAAGTGTGTTGGAGTTTGCAGCTGCCCGGTGCCCGGTGGAGGAGAGAAGCTGCCCGACAGTCTGTGTCAGTTATCGGTATCAGTCCTGGGCAGATTAGATATTATTTCCATTTTTCTGTTCACGCGTACGGACTATGGAGTATGTCATTTCATTAACCATTAAAATTTTACAAACGAAGGAGTTGAATTAAGGTGGCAAACACCTCGTTTCAGTTTAAGTAAGGTTTTGAGTTTGAAATTTTGTGTATGCAGCAGTTTTTGTTGGGAGATTCACCCACCATTTTGATGCGTCACAGCTGGTCGAGTCCAGAGTAGTCGGGGTGAAGTCCCGGATACCGGGCGGGAAACCAAAAAAAAAAAAAACAATTAAAATTTTAAATAACGGCTTGAAGAGAAGGTGAAAAAAAAGATTAGAATGAATAGAGGATTATCCTGACTGTACGAATTATTGGTAGAAATAAAAGAAAGTTTTTAGTTTTTTAAATAAAATTTTAAATTTTAATTTTATGAATAGAAAAATAAATGTTAAAATTTTTTTTAATAAGTTTAATATAATTTAATTTTAAATTAATTGAAAATTAATGTAGTTATTTGATACTTAAGAGTTAATACAAAATATATATATATATTCATCATGTCAGATAAAATCTTAAGAATTCTGTTTACAGTATATATGTAATTTGAGAAGAACAGGGAGAGAAGATGAAAATTTTTTTTTCAAATATTATAATTTAATTTATAAAAAAAAATCCTTCCCTTTAACCATTTCTCTCTCAAATCAGAGATACTATTACAATACAAGCCCGAGATCCAGCCTAAGATCTGGACCGTTTATTGTGACAGAGAGTGGGTAACAACCGTTAGATTGGGTAAGGGTAGAATTGGGAGGATGTTTTGGAGAACAGAAAGACCAAAATCTTGCGTCAATAAAAGCGCGGTGAGTAATTGGATATTGGAATGGTGAATTTACTCAATTGCCTTTTGGTTTTGGTTTGACTTGACTATTATTTTACTTTGGTTCGTCAACGGTCAGCTTACGGGGTCTCCGGTCAGCTTACGGGATCACTGGTCAATGCAACGGTGTAACTGCAACTACCTTCATCATTTCGCGAGACAGTGACAGTGTCTGCCTGGGATATGAAACGATGCCGTTTAACACCATGGCCTTTCTATTTTATTTACAACTATATTTTAAAAGAAATTAACAAGCGACCTTAAAAATTAATGGTGATATATTTTTAGTAAAAATAAAAAAAAA